AGAGAGATAGAGAGTTAGAAACATCGATGATGAGAGAGAAACATCGACCAGATGCCTCCTGCACACCTCCCACTGGGGATGTGCCCGCAACCAAGGTATATGCCCTTGACCGGAATCGAACCTGGGACCCTTCAGTCCGCAGGCCGACGCTCTATCCACCGAGCCAAACCGGTTTTGGCTACTTACCTACATTTTCATTTATTTTTTAAAATGCAAAGATTTTACAACTAAATGGCTTTAAATTCCCCCCTAAATTATTACTCAAATTTAAAGTCACATATACATGTATACATACACATATACAAAAGCCACATAGAGTCTGAATTTTTTAAAATAAAGTTGTCTTTGACAATTCACATTACCAAAATGGCATTATTGATTTCATTCAGAATTTAGGAAAGGTAATATATTTTAAATTTTTTAGAAAATACTCCATTTTGGATTACTATTGATAAATAGCTATAATCACAGGCTGTTTTGAGCTGGATTAACGGACTCTTCCTCTACTTGTGATTACTTAAGTCTTTTTCAAATTCAAAGTGTGAACTGTGCCTTATTTTACTACACAAAGAATGTCCAAGAAGCTATAAAAATTCCTCCAGAGTCATTTGCCCACATTCCAATGCCAAGTACAGAAAACGTTTAAAACATTTATAGAAAGTATAAAAAACAAAAGCAAAAGAAATTAACCAAAAGATGGCTATGAAAGTGAATACTGAGTCTTTTTACTCTTCAAAACACATTGAAGAAAGTTTATAAATTTACAACCCTGAAAAGACTATTATCCATTGATAAATTAATATTAATAATTCACTCACTGGAGAACAAACCTAGGAACCAGGGACTCCCATTCATCAATTTTGTTCTGTCACTGGCTTAGTAGAGTTTTGGGCACATCCCCATATGGTGAACAAGAAAAGCTTAACTGACATTCGAAGGTTGTAAGAATTGATTAAATGTTTATGAAGTACTCGAGGACCAAGAAGGAAAGCCACTGTAACCATTAAATGTAATTTAGTTAAAACTGTAGCTTAAGAGTTAGGCTTGCAAATCCAATCATAAAATTCTTTTGTGTCTTCTTAACACAGCAAATCTTCAGTGAGTCAGTTTAGTGTGTGTATTTAATGAGCTGGTTTAGCAACCTCAGAGGAATGAATTTTCTTCCAATCTTTGTTTTCTCACAAACTCTGTCACTATCCAACCCACCTAGTTGCAAAGGGAGACATGATCCGATTCAATGTTAGGTCTATCTCGGGAGGGAAGGGGGGGGGGGGGGGGGGGGAAAAACAAAGACTTTGGATGAAAATATGCATAACCCATGGACACCGACCGTGGGGTGGTGGGGGCCTGGGGCAGGGCGCGGGGGGGGGGAGGGCGCGCAAAAAAGGGGACCTATATAATACTTTCGACAATAAAGTTTTTTTTAAAAGTTAGGTCTAGTTATTGATAAGCCACTACCAAACGGCTAAAATCTATTCGAAATCACAGTGGAACTTTGTTAACTTACCAGAAATGTGAAGCCTGAAAGTAATCCCAGAAAGCAATCATCCCAAGAAGAGCTTTATTAAAGGGAAAGTCCCTACACTTTTTTAAAGAGCTGGAAAGTGTTTTAGACAATGCGGCCATCAGCCTGAATTCGCTCAAACCTCATCTAATTCGCTCGGCAGCGCCAGCACCTGCTCGCTGGGAGCGACTGGAGACGGGGAGGCCATCTCCAGCGGCCCTTCCTGGGTGACAGGAACAATGCGAACTGACAAAGGACGGGAGGCCCCCGGGCCTCCGCGCCGCGACGCTGCCCCCGACAGAGGGTACCAGCCCCGGCAAAGCGCTCCTCTCCCGAGCTCACACGCGGCCGCCTCTCCGGTTTGGCGACGTGGGAAAGTGCACCCTGCGCTCCGTTCCGGACGGCGGAGCACCCCGCGCGCAGGGGAGGCTGCCCCTAAGCGGCCGCGGGCAGGGACACTTCCTCTCCGCGCCGGCGAGCAGACCGGGGCGCACGGAGGCTCCCGGGGCAGCCGGGTCTGGAGCGCCGGCGGGGAGGCCGGGAGAGGGCGGGGAGGCCGGAGGGTCGCCAGCTCCGGGCGCAGGAAGCGGGGCTGGGGCGCCGGCACACCGTGCTCCCGGGAGCCGAGGGGAGACGGGAAGCTCGGGTCCGGGAGCCCCGGGAGCACGTTCCTTCCTCGAGCCCGGTCCCGAGGGGCGGCGCGGGCGGCCGGGGCAACTCTCCCTCTCGCCAAACTCCGGGGTGAGCGCGAGGGCGACCAACCGGGCTCCCGGCGGGGTGGCG